TGGCCTTGAACAATCGCCCACAAGGAACATTGCGTGCAGATACAAACGTTAATCCAAAGGAGCAGAACCCGAATCAGCTCATGGCAGTGAGTCTTAGGAATGGGAGACATTTAGACAGGGAGCAAGAAGTTGCTCAATCCAGGAGAGAGACAACGCCAGCTACTCCAACTGCTCCAGTTACATTCGAGACCGATGAGTCGGCAGAGCTCACCGAGGTTGTAATCGAGCAAGCAAAGGTTGACAAGGGTAAGGAGAAGGAAGGTGAACAACTCTCAGAACAGGTAGGAGAAAAAGATTCCAGCAAAGAAAAGATGCAAAGCAGTGGGCAAAGGTTGATCCCTGCACCATTCCCTCAGAGGTTGGCAAAGCAAAAGAAAGATGATCAATACAGGAAATTCGTGGAAATGCTCAGACAAATTCAATTAAATATTCCACTGATGATATGCTTGTTCAAGTGGGGAAATTTGTATTCCCCGCAGACTTCGTCATTCTTGACTGTCAGGTGGATAAAGAGATACCAATCATTCTGGGCAGGCCGCTTTTTGCCACTGGGAGAGCATTGATTGATTGTGAGACTAGGGAATTGAAAATGAGGTTGAACAATGAAGAAATCATATTCAGTGTTCAACAATCTATGAGGAGACCCAGCGAATTTGCAAATTGCTCACTAGTGGAGGCCGTACATGTGATACTACAAGAGGAGGATGAGACTATTAATGTCAGGGATCCGTTAGAAGCTTGCTTGATGAATCTGGAACATGAGGATGGTGCGGAGTTGGCAGAGTGGGTCATGGCTCTCGATGGTCAAGGGTTCTGGGCAAGGGAACCCCAGTTCGATCCCCTACACTTAGAAGAAAGAACACCACCACCTGTGAAGCCATCGATAGAGGAGCCACCACAGTTGGACCTGAAACCGTTTCCAGCTCACCTCAGGTACGCTTTCTTAAGGCATAATTCTACTTTACCTATTATTATATCATCGGGTTTGCTAGCTGTGCAGGTAGAGCAACTCCTACAGGTGTTACAGGAATGTAAGACTGCCATTGGTTGGACCATGGCGGACATAAAGGGCATCAACCCAGATTTTTGTATGCACAAGATTCTCCTGGAAGAAGGGCACAAAACTTCTAGAGAACATCAACGAAAGCTGAACCCGAATATGAAAGAGGTAGTGAAGAAGGATGTGATCAAATGGTTAGATGCGGGTATCATCTTCCCCATCTCTGACAGCAATTGGGTCATTCCTGTCCAATGTGTGCCGAAAAAGGGAGGAAAGATGGTAATGCAGAATGAGAAGAACGAGTTAATCTCAACTCGTACAGTCACGAGGTGGCGAATTTTCATGGACTATCGGAAACTGAACACAACCACCCAGAAGGACCATTTCCTCTTGCCTTTCATTGACCAGATGTTGTACATGTTAGTTAGGCGATCTCACTTCTATTTCTTGGACGGATACTCGGGGTATAACCAGATCTCAATAGTCTCGGAAGATAGAGAGAAAATGTCCTTCACGTGTCCGTATGGCATCTTTTCCTTTCAGAGAATGCCCTTTGGACTTTGCAATGCACCGGCTACATTCCAGCGGTGCATGTTAGCCACTTTCACTGACATGGTTGAGGATATTATGGAGGTGTTTATGGATGATTTCTTCATGGTGGGGGATTCATTCGAAGATTGTCTTGACAACCTAAGAAGAGTGCTCAAAAGATGTGTGGAGACAAATCTAGTGCTGAATTGGGAGAAGTGCCATTTTATGGTACAAGAAGGAATAGTGTTGGGGCATCGAGTGTCCAAAAAAGGGAATTGAAGTTGACCAAGCCAAGGTTGATGTGATTGAGAAGCTACCGCCACCCACTTCGGTAAAGGCAGTGAGAAGTTTCCTTGGGCACGCTGGGTTCTATAGGCGGTTCATTAAGGATTTTTCAAAGATTGCTAACCCCTTATGTAAGCTGCTTGAAAAGACCAGCCCTTTGAGTTTTCTGATGATTGCAAGTTGGCCTTTGAGGAGCTGAAAAAGAGACTGGTGACTGCACCCATCATTGTTGCACCCAACTGGGAGCAACCATTCGAGCTCATGTGCGACGCCAGTGATTATGCTATAGGAGCAGTCTTAAGGCAACGCAAAGACAAGATGATGCACCCGATTTACTATGCAAGCAGGATGCTCAGTGGTGCACAGCTTAATTACACTGTCACGGAAAAGGAAATGCTCACTGTAGTGTTTGCCTTCGACAAATTCAGGTCGTACTTAATTGGCTCAAAAGTTATTGTTTATACTGACCATGCAGCAATTAGGTACTTGATAGCATTGAAGGAGTCAAAGCCACGCTTGATTCGATGGGTTCTTTTGCTACAAGAATTCGATCTAGAAATCCGTGACAGAAAGGGGACAGACAATCAAGTGGCAGACCACCTCTCGAGGTTGGAAGGAGCAGAAAGAAGAATGGAGGTTGAAGATATCACAGAGACATTCCCGGATGAACAGTTACTTGCTGTGACAATGGAGGAGGCGCCACGGTATGCTGATATTGCTAATTACTTAGCAAGCGGTATTGTACCTTATGATCTCTCCTCAATTCAAAAGAAAAAGTTCTTCAGTGATTGTCGATCTTACTATTGGGATGAACCTCTACTTTTTAAGATATGTGTTGATAACATGATCCGGAGGTGTATCCTCGAGAAAGATCAACATTGATGTTTTAAGTGCTAAATGATAACAAAATGCTCTAATTGAGGTTTTTATGCTTTGCAGGAGCTACTCCGAGTTAGGAGGAGGATATAGAGTGTTTTGGGGTCAAATATGTAGATACAAGTCCAATCGAGAAGAGCCCAGATGAAAACGAGCAAGAAAAGGCGAAGAAAAAATGGGCAACAGTCCACCGCGACCGCGGTCGGGCCGCGACTGGAACGCGGTGGAAGAAGGAGCAAAACCGAATTATCTAAAACGACCGCGGTTGGCCCGCGACCGCGGTCGATCTGGAGAATGCCAAGAAAGTTCAGGGGCCAAAGTGTAAAACGTGGGAAACTATCCTAACCCTATATAAACTCAACAAACTCTCCCAAGTTAAGGTTAAGCTTGTTTTTAGACTCAATTGGAGTCAAGAACAAGTGTGAGAAGAGCAAGACACCATTCGAGTTTTTCATTCTTCTTCCTATTATCATTATTTTGTGAATTATGAATTATTTTATGGCTTTATCTCGTTTTACCATGAGTAGCTAAACTTTTAATCTAGGTTTGATGGAACCAATTGTTGGATGAAGTCTTGATTACGTTTTGATATAATTAAGCCGCTTCTTATTCTATAATTGATCAACTATGTGTTTTCCTGTGATTAATTGAAAGGCCCCTTGATTAATCGTGTCTAGTTACCTTGTGTTGTATGAGAAAGAACACTGGGTTAGATTGTTGTTGAGCAACACCACTTTCGGGTAAGTTAAGAGATTATTTACTTGAATTTAAAAGCAGGGTTAGAGATACCGAAGCTTTGGTGGAATAATTCTGAGTTACATAAATTGTTAACTAGAGTAGTTTGAGAGAATGCTTCTAGTAAATTATCGTAATTGATCGAGAGATAATTGCGGTAACCTAGAACTCATATTTCATATAGAGTATTACAACGAGATTATAGCTAACGTGTTAGGAATTAATCCGACAATTGGGGAAATTAATAACCCTAGACCATTTTAATTCAACTCTATTCTTGATTATTGCTAGTTTTATTATTGTTTTTTCATTAGTTAACTAGATTCTACTCATTATCCATTAAAAATCTTGCATCCGGGGATTGTTTGAGCTATTCATTAGCAGTGTTAAAAGTTGTAGTAAATAGGTTAGTTCCCTGTGGGATTTGACTCCGGATTGAACCGGATTATATATTTGCAGCGACCGCTTAGTCCTTTTTATAAGGCGTAGTTGGGCGTGATCAGTGCTTCGGGAACAAATGAGAGAGCACCAAGAAAGGGTCGACAAAATACCAGGGGCCCCAAAACTCTTGCCAAAGAGAGATGCCGGTAGGTTTGTCGAGCAACCATACAGAGATGAAGCCGCCCCGCATGCCATACCAAAGACCTTCAAAATGCCGCCCTATCTGAAAATATATGATGGTATGACCGATCCCGAAGATCATGTAACTCACTATGTCACCGCTGAAAAAGGCAATGACCTCGCCAAGGAAAAAGTATCCTCCATCTCGTTGAAGAAATTCGGCGAAACCCTCACCGGAGGAGCATTGACTTGGTATTCACATCTGCCCGCACATTCCATCGAAACAATCGAAGAGATGACTGACAAGTTCGTAAAGGCCCATGCTGGGGCCAAAAAGGCGGAGGCGAGAGTGAATGATATATTCGCTATCAAACAATCGCCCGGAGAAGGATTGAGAGACTTCCTCGTCCGATTCAACTGAGTAAGAATGACCTTAGCAAATATATAAGAAGGAATGGTCGTTGTAGCTTTCCAAAAAGGATTGAGCAGGAATGGTTCAAGGGCGACCAGAAGGTTGTTAAGTCGGCTTATCAAATATCCCCCAACTACTTGGGATGAGATATATAACGCCTACTGTGCTGAAGTCCGAACAAATGAGGACGACCTGAATGGGCCAACTCATCTACTGACCTCGGTACAAGCCGAATCCAGGAAGTATCGAAGAAATGATATCGGGAGGGACCTCATAGATCCATGAACTAACCGAGAACAACATTAGCCATATGTCAGAAGCACTATCGCGCCCCCCTCCCGCCACGAAGAGGGCCCACCCAGACTATAGACAAGGACTCAACGGAACGAGAGAGGTATGCCTCCTTTATTATCCACTCACAATTTTTGTGCATCACCTTCAGAAATAGTCTACGCATCGGAGAAGCTCGGAGCGAAGGTAAAGTGGCCATAAAAGATGTTAGATCCAAACACCAGAAATTTAGACGCACTCTGCGTGTTCCACTAAGGACGAGGGCACAAAACCGAGGACTGCATCGCCCTAAGACATGAGGTCGTAAACATGCTCCGACAAGGACACCTCAAGGAGTTGTTGAGCGACCGAGGAAGGACCAAATTTGTCAGAGGACGCGAACAGCATCAGGGACCACCGAAGCCTCCCTTACCAACCCGCACCATCCAAATGATCATCGGCGGCAGCGATGATGCCTCTATCAACAGCGTAAAGTTTACCACAACCCATAAGCTCAAATGGTCGATCACGCACGAACGGTATGATAAACTCGAAGAAAGTATCATCTTCGATAAGTCGGATACCCACGATTTGGCTTTCCCTCACTATGATGCTCTTGTTATCACTTTACGAATTTTAGACACAGATGTGAGATACATTATGGTAGACGATGGGAGCGGAGCGTGCATTATCCACCCTCAGGTACTTGCACAAATGAAACTCGAGGATAAGATAGTGCCGCGTTGCATCGCGCTAACAGGTTTTAACAATGCAGTTGAACGAACATCTGGAGAAATCACACTCCCATCCTGGCTGGCAGCGTCACTATGGAAACCACAATCCATATCATGGACCAGGACACGGCGTACAACTCCATAATAGGGCGACCATGGACACACGCCATGAGGGCCATCCCCTCCAGCTTGTACCAAGTCATCAAATTTCCAACCCCATGGGGAATATTCAACATACGAAGAACAATGCACATCTCGAGATTGCTACCGCATTGACCTGGATTGTATGACCACTCAACAAATGAAGGGCAAAGCTAAAGAGTCATAGTAGTTAATAGGGCCGAGGGCGAGCGGCGATGAAAGGGAAAACGTCATCAAAGACCCTGAAATGGTGGAAGCTGCGGAATCGACCATAGAAGACCTCTACCTCGTCTAACTAGATGGAAACGACCACAGCTAGCAATCTTACATCAGCTGCAAGCTTCAAGAACCAGGTAAATTTCGTCAATTCTTAACTACTAATGCAGATTTGTTTGCTTTTAGCCATGTAGATATGCCAGGTATCCCGAAGGAGATCGCTACACACAAATTGAACGTCGACCCATTTCACCCCTCGGTGAGGCAATTTAGGCGTTAGTTCAACTCCGCAATAAACGATGCAGTACGCGAGGAAGTCGAAAAGTTATTGAAAATTGTCTCTATTAGAGAGTCAAAAAATACCTGCAATGGGTCGCCAATGTGGTCATGGTGAAAAAGAAAAATGGGAAGTGGCGAATGTGCGTAGACTTTACAAATTTAAATAAAGCATGCCCCAAAGATTCTCCCATTACCTCATATCGGTCAACTCATCAATGCGATGGCCAGGCACGAACTGTTGAGTTTCTTATACGCCTACTCAGGCTACAATCAGATCCTCATGGAAGAAGAGGATCAGGAAAAAACCACTTTTATCACCCATCAATGAACGTACTGCTACAGAGTCATGCCTTTCGGACTGAAAACGCAGGGGCGACGTACCAAAGGTTGGTAACAAAAACATTCAAGGACCAACTCAACAAGATGGTGGAAGTCTACATAGATGACATGCTGGTCAAGTCCAAAAGAAAAGAAGATCACATCGACCACTTGAGAGAAACCTTCAACATACTCAGGCAATACGGAATGAAACTAAACCCTGAAAAGCATGCATTCGGTGTGGCCTCAAGGAAATTCATGGGTTTCCTAGTGTCACAGCGAGGCATTGAGGTCAACCCCGAACAGATCAAATCCATCGAAGGGATACCAAAGCACTTAACCACCAAAAAATAGGTTCTGAGGTTGACTTGCCGCATCGCCGTCCTTTCAAGGTTCATCTTGCGATCATCTGAAAGGAGCCACAAATTCTTCGGCGTACTCAAGAAGGATAACAACCTCCAATGGACCTCCGAGTGTGCCCAAGCCCTGAAGGAGTTAAAGGCCTACTTGTTGTCGCCACCACTGCTTTCAAAACCAGAACCTGGGGAGTGCCTCCTCGTCTACCTCGCAGTGTCCAAAGTAGGAGAGTGCAATTCTAGTCCAAGAAAATAAAGGTACGCAATCTCCTATCTATTACTTTAGCAAAAAATTAGCCAACGCCGAGACGAGGTATCCCCACCTCGAAAATTGGCCCTGGCCTTGGTCGTATCTTCGCAAAAGCTTAGACCCTACTTCCAGTGCCACCCCATCTCGGTAGTCACGACTTTTCCCTTGAGAAGTATTTTGCATAAACCCGAGCTATCGGGCAGGTTAGCCAAATGGGCCATAGAATTAAGCGATCATGATATCACATATCAACCGCGAACGGCGATAAAGTCACAAGTCCTTGCCAACTTCGTCGTCGACTTCAACGCAAAAATAATGCCCGAAGTCGAAAAAGAAGCCGCCCACGCTCCTCCCCAGACACAAGATCTATGGATTTTGTACACCAACGATACTTCTAATGTGTTAGGATCCGAACTAGGACTCGTACTCGAAGTCCCAACACGCGAAGTGATTCGCCAGTCCATAAGGTGCCTAGACATGACTAACAACGAGGCCGAGTATGAGGCTGTGATTGCAGTATTAAGGTTAGCACTCAAGTACGGGGCGAGACGTGTCAGACTGTGCTGCGACTCTCAACTCGTTGTCAACCAAGTCACAAGGACTTTCCAGATCAAAGAGCAAATGTTACAAAAATACCAGGCCGAGATCTGTAAACTGCTGCCCGAGTTTGATGAATGTTAGCTCGACCAGATTCCTCGAGCACAAAACATCAAAGCAGACTCCCTCGCCAAATTAGTAGCGGCCACCAAAAACATAACCGGAGAAAGAAACGTGGTCACCCTCCTCCACTCATCGATAGATCAAATCGAGGTAAGGACCATAAATCTGACTTGGGACTGATGTAACTGTATCGTTACATACTTGCAGGATGGCGTACTCCTAGATGATTAGAAAGAAGCCAAGAAGCTTCGGATGCAAGCATCCAGGTGCAACATCATTCATAACGACCTATACAAGAGGACGTATGGAGGCCCCTTGGCGAAATGCTTAGGCCCGAATCAGACACGGCGCTTCCTTGAAGAAGTCCACGAAGGCCACTACGGAGCTCATTTCGGCAATCGAGCTCTGGTTAGATGTATCATACGGGCAGGTTACTACTGGCCCACCATGAAAAAAAAAGGCTGCAAACTTCATGAAAAAGTGCGAGCAATTCCAAAAATATGCCCCAATAATCCACCAAGCGGGCGAGCACCTCTACTTAGTCACTTCCCCTCGGCCGTTCATCAAGTGGGGAATGGACATCGTCGGCCCCCTCCCCGCGGGGCAAGGTAACATACTATTTCTTTTGGTTGTAACTGACTATTTTTCTAAATGGGTAGAAGGAGGAGCATTCGCCCAAATACGCGAACAGGAAGTGATCGCCTTTATATGGAAAAACATCGTTTGCCGCTTCGGCCTCCCCAAAGAGATCAATCGCGACAGCGGACCCCAATTTATAGGAAAAAAAGGTCGCCAAATTTTTTGAGAAGTGGCATATCAAAAGAATACTCTCAACACCGTATCACCCCGCAGGCAACGGGCAAGCGGAATCCTTAAATAAGTCAATACTGTAAATCATGAAGAAAAAGCTTGATGACGCCAAGGGACTATGTCTGGAGTTATTATAAGAAGTACTTTGGGCCTACCGAACAATGCCAAAGACGAGCACATGAGAGACGCCCTACTCATTAGTCTATAGGACTGATGTAATAATGCTAGTCGGAGAGCCTGGTTTGAGATATTCCCATGAGAACAGGCCGAGGAACGATGAAAGCAGAAGGTAAGAGCTCGACGAAGCCGAAGAACGGAGAGATATGACCTATATAAGGATGATCGCCCAAAAACAACAGGCAGAACGCTATTATAACAAAAAGGCAAATGTTAGACCACTCAAAGTCGGAGACTACATGCTCAAACCTAAAACATAAGCAAGCAAAGACCCGCAGGAAGACAAACTGGGACCGTCCATACAAAATCACAAAAATAGCAAATAAAGGGTCATTCCAACTAGAAATAGTGGAAGGAAAACTACTACCAAACAACTGGCAAGTACTTCAACTTTTAGGAAAAAGTGTTCTCCAAGTCGTACTCTTTTTTCCCTCACTTGAGTTTAGTCCCAATTAGGTTTTCTCAAGGAGGTAATGAGGTGACAAGGGGAACACTTCAAGTTGAAGTGCGAACGGATGAAGGCACAGGACAGTCAATTCATTGCCCAACCTCTCAATACTTTTCTAGGTCGACCAATGAAGGGACTGGAATACCAGCCGACACTCGATAGACTAGGACTGGAATGCCAGCCCGGAAAATATGTAAACTTATCCAAGTATATGAACAAAGCACAAATGCATGAAGTTCACCCATATTTCGCCAAATGTACAGCCAAAGCAATGTTGCCTCAATACCTACGCGACCCTCGGCCATAAATAACTATAAGTTACATTCGACCCCGTTCGATGTAACTAAGTACAGGTTACATTCTACCTCGTTCGAACTAATACCTACTCGGCCCTCGGCCATAATTAAATAGAAGTTACATTCGACCTCGTTTGAATTGACTAAGTTACATTTGACCTCATTCGAATCAACTAAGTACATGTTACATTCAACCTCGTTTGAATTAACATCTACTCAGCCCTCGGCCGTAATTAAATAAAATTTACATTCGGCCTCGTTTGAATTAACTAATTACATTCGACCTCGTTTGAATCAACTAAGTAGAGGTTACATTCGACCTTGTTCGAATTAACACCTACTCAACCCTCAGTCGTAATTAAATAAAAGTTACATTCAGCCTCATTCAAATTAATTAAGTTACATTCAGCCTCGTTCGAATCAACTAAGTACAAGTTACATTCGATCTCGTTCGAATTAACACCTACTCGGCCCTCGGCCATAATTAGATAAAAGTTACATTCGGCCTTGTTTGAATTAACTAAGTTACATTCAACCTCGTTCGAATCAACTAAGTACAGGTGACATTCGACCTCGTTCAAATTAACACGTACTCGGCCCTCGATCGTAATTAAATAAAAGTTACATTCGGCCTCGTTCGAACTAACTAAGTTACATTCGACCTCGTTCGAATCAACTAAGTACAGGTTACATTCGACCTCGTTCGAATTAACACCTACTCAGCCCTCCACCGTAATTAAATAAAATCTACATTCGACCTCGTTCGAATCAACTAGGTTACATTCGACCTCGTTCAAATCAACTAAGTACAGGTTAGATTCGACCTCATTCGAATTAACACCTACTCGGCCCTCGATCATAACTAAGTATAAGTTACATTCGACCTCGTTCGAATTAACTAAGTATAAGTTATATTCGACCTCGTTCGAATTAACCAAGTATAGGTTACAATTTGACCTCATTCGAATTAACTCCTACTGGCCCTCGCCCATGATCAAAACTGAGTTCTGTTTCAACCTCGTTCAACACACATGAACTAAATTTTTACGACTAAAGCGACCAAACGGCAAAAAAAAAGAAAGAGGCATACAAACCCGAACAGAAGGAAAGGAATCAGGTACGAGCAACGAAAATGACATTCCATAAAATATTTTCTTTACAAGGGCTAGAACAGATATCCACAAAAATATGTAC